TGAAGGTCTACCAGCAGGTAGGGAGAGGTGGGATATAGACGCAGTATCACGTCGGGGAAAGGCACAGGGGTAGGTTCAACGAGAAGAACGACGTGGACGATATCCGTTGAAAGGCGAGATGAGACAGATGACAGTCCTTAGGGGGTTTGGAAACGTCCCCGAACTCCTTCACGTCGGTATGCCACGCCATCCCAGGAATACAACAACAGAACCATACCCATGCAGCCATGTTGGCAACAGCCCGGGGAGTCTGAGCAGACTCCAGAGTCCCCGCAAAGGTTCTCTCAAGCGCCCTCGCGACCGGCTTCAAGGGAGGAGACAAGCCCAGCGCAGCGGGGAGGAGTTGCAGTTCCGAAGGGCCGACGACTGATTTGTTACCAGGTTATGCATCTAGCATCCAGCAAGGGAGACCCCAGATGGGTAACCAGTTTACCCCGGCCAGTGTCTATTCCAGTCTTCAGGAGCTGAAGAGCGAGGACGGCAAAAAGAGGCTGCCAAGTCGCCGAAGGCCGAAGCATCCCTCATTCTGAAGAAATGTGGGGGGAGCTCGGGGATGGTGGATTCAGGGTAGACAATCCTTTGGTGTCAGAGGCTTCAAATCCTGATTCGACATGTCAACATAACCTTTCGTCCTTGTTCGCTAGCCCCCTCCCCTCCCGCTCCATCAGAAAGCGATCTCGCGATTCATCAGTGCCTCGTCAGAGAAGACGGACGAGAACACGCTCCAGTCGTCGAGGTTGAAGTCCTGACTCGCGCAGAAGATGTCCTTTTTGGGGGGAATTGTCAGTAGAGCTAAACGCCAAAAAAAAAAGTTGCGCGTGTGGACACAGGCCATCGACTTACCCCAAACGGAATGTCCACGTCGTTGGCGAGACTGAAGCCGTCATCGGCGCCCGTGCTCGCGGGGACGTCGGTCTTCAACGCCTTGGTGACAGTCTGCCGAGCGACGGTGGCGACGTCTCGAGCGAATGGAAAGTTGAGCTCCGAAGACGTCACAAACTCCATGTGTCCAAAGTAGCCGGCCGCCACGTCGAGGAGGGCCACGTCAGACCGCGCCGAGGACAGAGACGGGAACTTGAGGATGTGGATGAAGAGATTGATCAGCCCGATCATGGGATAGTAGAAGGTTGGCCTGTGTCTGTTAGACTGACGATTTTGTCGTTCTGCTCGGTCACACGCACCATTGTATCGAGGCACCGTTGATCTCCAGGCTTCTCGCGATGATGATGATATTCCTCGCGGCTTCTGCAACCGTGTTCGAGCTGAAGATCAGTTGGTCTTGGGTGACGACACCCCGACCGTTCCCGAAGATGGTGCTGTACACCCACGGGTAGGCAAAGATGGTGTGTATGGCCATCAAGCTCCCGTAGTAAGCGCAATGCATAAGGACCGTAGGGAGATACCTGGCGTCGTGGGGGACCTGAAAGGACCGGAGGCGGTCGTCCGGTCTCAGTCCCGGCGGGAGAGAATCTCTCCATTCGTGCAGCTGGTGATCCAGTTCTGCTACGGTTTCAAGTAGAGTGCTCGGCGGCTGTTGAAAAGCCTTGACCGACATGAGTCGTTTGGAGATCTGAGAGGATATCTGGGCGTGTCGAATAAGATATGTGAATGCCTGCACGTCAAGAGTGCTTCCGGGGCATGCCTCGGTCGGGATCTGACAGCTGATCTCGTCGTCGTCGATGGCCTGGACAAGACACCAGTTAGTACTCGACAACAAATCGGTGGTCGGTAGCCATGACTTACAGACGGTCGTCCAGAGCGGTGAGCAATATGCTTCTCGCAGCAATATATAGCCCAGAACAGCCAACTATAGTGTAGTTCATCATGGGCAGCCAAGTTCCACGCTTTGGCCGGTCGCCGATGTAATCCCTTTGCCTGAGCCACTCGCGCCGCACCGGCACAGAACATGTACTCGAGGGCGGGATTGCCGAGACCCTCTGAGAAAAAAGCCTGCCAGATATGGTGAGATGATATTCAACAGCGAAGAAGTGCGGACCTTTGTACCATTGCGATCAGGGCGCGAACAGCGAGCAAACCTGTGGGGGTGAAAAGTAACTCGATGAGGACGGACATGGCACTCTGAAAGTAGCTCCATGCTTCAGCTTGGATCTCTGTGAAACTCATCGACGTGTGTTTGGAGAGGTAGATTCGACACCCTGAGGCATACACGGTTTTGCGCAAGGCGAACCACGAGGCGTCATCGCCCGACACCAGATCTCCGCGTAAGTGGGCTCGAAGGGCGCTTTCAAACTCGGGTCTATACACAATGCCGAGAGTTGCGTCGAACGATTCCTCAAAGTATGCTTTTCCAGTATCTTGTCAGCCTTTGTATAAGAGAGATATATATAGACGACGACATCACTTGCCATTACAATATTTCCAGGCAGTCTCGGGATCAGGTTCGCGGTGTTGGGTAGCTGCGATTTTGCTCCGATCCAACGTCAAACGCCGCGTCCACGTGGTTATAAGCTCTCTGGCGCTGTTTTCAAAATCTGCAACGCCAGTTCTTTGTGCAACCCAGTCTAGACCGGGCCTTGAGCAGACCGATAGCCAGGACCCCGGACCTGTGCCAAAAGACAATCAGATAGAGGCTTTGAGGGTTGGATGTGACCGGTACATTACCATGATGTTCCCAGTTCACCTCGAGAGCCGTTAGCCTGCACGGAAATTGTCCCAAGGGGTGTGTATACTTACCACCTGTGGAGCAAGAATAGTGGCCTCCTTGTCCATGTTTGTAGCGTCAGAGTCTTCCTTGGCCTCAATATGCCTGTTTGAAAAGGGTTGCGCGGACTGTTGCACCGTGTCCGCCAAACTTGGGTTCGTTGAAGTGGGCGGATTCTGATATGTTGGCACAACTTTTTCTGGAACGAAAGACGTCAGTGTAGGATTGTCGATCAATGATGTCTCCATGTCGATCGACCTGATATGCTGGGTTTCGTTCCAGGTGGATATTGTTGTGTTCCTGGCGCTTCCAAGTTGTGGTCCGAGGGTTTGCGCCACCAGGGTGCTTTGGCTGCTGATACTGCCAGGATGAGCTGTGTCAGACACCGATGGGGAGGCCCTGATCTGGTTCTGGTTCTCGATCATGGCCTCCATCCGAGCTATGCGACCCTCCAGCAAGGTTTCGAGGCCGCTGCCATGCCTTCGTCGCCCTCGTCGAGATTCGGGATAGACACATTCTGCTCGAGAAATCTGCATTGACTTTTGAGAAGAATCCCTATTTGGCAGTGAATCGGGGTAGAGTACCTGACATTTGGCACATGGGGTTCCTCCGTCGCCTGGGAGTTTTAAATCATGTAAGCCTCAGGATCAGGTATTGACACGATCAAACAGCTGGGGGCAAGCATACATTTGACCTTCCGTGCGCGACATTGGCCGCACGCGTGAGCCTTCTTTGGCAATTCCCGCTGGCCCACCATTTGCAAGCTTTGTTATTATTCTAGGCTTATGCTGCCTATGCCGGAGGAAGTGACTTGTAACCGCGTGGGAAACGATATTATGACTGGAGAACCTGCCCTGGCTCCAATTGAGTCTATATTGCGGGGCACCGGGGGTATATAAGCCCCATATCGCTATCCCAAAGAAGCATGTGAGCCGAGGGCAGGTGAAGCGATAAGTGACAAGCGGCTAATAGCGGCAGGAAGTTGGTAGTAGGAAGGTTTTTCCGCTCATCACGGTCTTTTTTCGCTCGTTCTTCGCTCTATATCTCAAGGCTACACCACTAACGCCGCGAATCGGTTGGTCCCTTGCACTTCAATGACAACATGTACTCTAGAGGTCAGTTTGATGGCCTCCCACAGTCCCTATCGCTGACTATCATAGCCACAAGCTGCATGTCTGCCAGTCACTGCTCTGAGGTCGGTCCTGGTTGACGGAGAGTTGTTGCTCTTTGCAGGGCAGGGTCCCTTTCTTCACATCTACAATGAGAGCGGAGTCATTATTTCATCTGCGCGAATATTCGAGATCCAACCCATCTGTGGGATACAGATCGAGTCGCGCGATGCAGGGCAAGTGTTGAGTCAGGGTCATCAGATCGTGCTCTGGGGAGGGGCATTTTGCCGCACCGCTGTGTTGACGTTAGGGAAACCAGGAGCTGCCCCGTCAGCCTTGGTGCTAGAGATCACTTTCTCGAGACCATTAAACTGCGGAGATTGGATTCTAGATGCTGCTTTCCACCAATCCAGCATTTTCCTGCTCACTGCACACAATCAGCTTCTAGAGCTGTCCTTTCGCCGACATGCAGAGAGCACTCTGAAATGTGAGAAATATGCCACAGTGAATGGCCCAAAGTCATTCCTGTACTCCGGCTCCCTTGCTGTCACCAACCCTGGCCAAATTATTGTGGCTTCTGGGACCGTCTTTGGGGAGATTCTAGTCTGGACTTGCTCGAGGGAAGAAAGCCTGGGCCAGTGGTCCACATCACTAAGACACATTTTCAATGGTCACAGAGGTTCCGTTTTCGGTGTGTCTATTTCTGACGGCTTCGACCTGGGCGCAACTCGCTGCCGCTTGTTGGCGAGCTGTTCTGATGACCGAACGGTAAGAATTTGGGACATTAGTGACTGTGACTTGACACCCCGCGACTCCAATCACAGTCTAGAATCAGCCGAGACAGGCTTCGGACTTGTCGGTCAAGGAGGCGACACCCATCTTGCATCCGAATGGGGTCATCTCTCGCGCATCTGGGATGTTGAATTTGTGCGGAACGAGTCGAACAGAAACGGCGTCTGTCTTCTATCCCGAGGTGAAGACGGTGCCTGTCAATTGTGGACCGTCGAGCTGCATGCAGGGACTCCACCAGAGATACCCCTAACGGCGCGTCTGAGGGCAGAGTCAAGTGATCGACACCATTCGGGGAAGAATGCATGGTCCATGACCTACGTTAATGATGGTCAAGGTTTGCTCGTCCAGACTGGCGGTGCTGATGGGCAGATTATCTCCAGAAGATTTGATGTCTCGCGCGGGAGCATAGCTTCGTCTACCACCCTCTCGACACCTTTTAAGGACATTACTGTGTCCTCGATGTCCCTGAAGCATTACTTGTTCTTGGACTCGGGTGCATGCTTGGCTGCTACGGATCGAGGCGACTTGTTCCGATTGACTGCTAGCCATGATAAGTTGAATTGGACCAGCTTGATACCGAATCCTGGAAGTGGCGGCCTTGTGCTCTGCTCGGCTGAACGCCTACAGCTCGTTCTCGTTGCGTATCAGAGAGGTGGACTGTCGGCATTGCTCACCCACAACGACTCTTTAGTCCCCGTCGAATGCGACCTCGAATGTGCAATCTCTTGGATGCGGCTTGCCTCTCCACATTCCGCAGAATTGCCATCGTCTACAATTTGTGTTGTTGCCTCGTTGGCGAATCGGAAGTCAGTCATCCTCTGGGTGAGCATGACAGACGGTTCAGTCCAGGTGAGCCAAACATCTTTAGAAACACCAGAAACTTTCACCATCACCTCCTGTTGTTACGACAGCTCTAGCCAGGTCTTGGTTCTTGGTTCCCGTGCTGGAGCTCTTGCAATCTATCGCCAGGTAACATCTGGGTCAAAAAAATCTGGGGAGCCATCGTGCCTTCGCCATGCCCATGGCACGGATAGCGTCGCTTCCGTTACCATTCTGCAAGAAGATGCGCAACCTTCCAAGGAGACAATCCATGTTCTGACGACAGGACGTGACGGGATCTACGCAATCCATCGAGTCAATTGGCCACAGTCCACAGACACGCAAGAAGCCACTGTGACAGCTGTTCACAGATCTGCACTCCCATTCGGGCCCAACATTGAGGGGGCTTTGTTTACGTCGGGCAAAGAATCATCACATGTGACAGAGCGAAATTTGATTCTCTATGGCTTCCGCTCGACGTCGTTTGTTGTTTGGAATGAAACACAGCAATCTGAAGTGTTATCTGTCGAGTGCGGCGGGCCCCATCGCAGCTGGGCGTTTCGAGACTGTTCCGAGTTTCGTGATGGAGGCGGGAAATCATTTGTCTGGACTAAAGCCCGCACATTGAACTGGTACTCATCCCGGGGATCCAACCACGAATTGATCCAAAAGGGAGGGCAAGGGCGTGAGATCAAGGCCGTGGCTCGCAGTCCTGTGTCGTACGATCGCCTTCAGAAGGAACACCGCGCTCAGGTTCTCATAGCCACAGGAGCTGAAGACACCAACATTCAGCTCTTTGCTATACCTCGTACCGCGAAAGCTACATACCGACCTCAACCAGCCGGGGAACCCGTACCAGACACCTCTGCGTTTCGGGCCGTGTCAACCCTGAAACGACACAATACCGGCATTCAACATCTCCAATTCTCACCGTCGGGCGGATACCTCTTTAGCAGTGCTGGATGCGAAGAATTCTATGTGTGGAGACTCACCTTTGACGTACCTGGCATTGAAACCGGAGTGGTACTATGGGACATGATGCCGACTCAGGAAGAAGACTCGGATGCGCGGATCATGAGCTTTGATTTGCAGCGTAGCAACTCCGGAGACGAGAACGCAAGAGAGGAATACACGATCGTGATGGCGTACTCGAACGGAAAGGCAAAGGTGGTACGCTATACACCTGGATCCAGCAGGAGTAAAGAGATGTTTGAGATGCTGCGAGAAATCAGCTACGGTTCCTTCTGTGTGATGCAGGCTTTCTTCCTTTCACCAAGCTTCATCCCAGCTTCGACCTTTGGATCTGACGAGCTTCGAATGGGAGCATTGTCCGCGGGCACCAACGGCATCCTAAACCTCAGCCTTATGAACACCCGCTTCCCGTCTAATCGGTCGACTGTTTCGCCCGATACAGCGCTTGAATCGCCGATGGAAGTCCACAAGGTGCATCAAAGCAGCGTCCTTGCCATGGACATGGTACGCCTCAATCCCATGACCTACCTCGTCGCGACCGGCGGCGACGACAACGCACTAGGCCTGACACTGCTTACCGCTTTACCTTCATCTACGATCGCGCCCGCATCAGAGACCAACACCGAAAGACAACCACCCTCCTACCACTTCCGCACGCTACTCATTCCTGCCGCCCACGCCGCAGCCCTCACGGCGTTGAAAGCCACGAACCTCAGACGCACACGGACGGGATATTCGATTGTTGTGGTTACCGTGGGGAACGACCAGCGCGTCAACGTCTGGGATGTCCATGTCAACTCGGGCGGAGACAATAAACGTGTCATTCCCTCCGCCGGGCGAGATAAGCTTTTTGAAGCCGTCCAGGTGGAACTTGTCGGAGCTGGATGGACGGCAGTTGCGGACGTCAGTGATTTGGACATTATCGAGGACGACCCTATGACCCTGGAAAATGATGTAGGGAACGGTGAGAAGGGTGGGGGCGAGAGAGCATGGAGTATTTTGGTGGTGGGTGTCGGGATGGAGCTTCTGAGGGTGGTCGCTCGATAAGGCACAGAGATGGTTCCGTCTGGAAGAGAGAGAAGATGATACTTCAACATATCAAGTCCCACCCCAACCTGTAGTGGATGACAGCTGGATGGTCTGATTGGTATCGGTGCTCAGGGGCTTGCAGCCTCGTCCATTGTCCGCCGGCCCATCCCGTAGCTCGCGAATACACCTCATCTACCTACCACTCATGTCCACTTCAAACCTCTCAATTGCCTCCTCCCTACATCTACTCGACGACCTGATTCTTCAACACCTGCAAAAACCCTGACGACAACCATCCCAATCAAACTCAGCTTCAGGTGGTGGCCTCTTCCCCTCGTCCAGCACAGCACGGCATAGTTTGGACAGCCACACATCCGAGTAGTAATGGTAAGAAATCCGTGAGAGAATCGGTGCCAAAAAGACTTTCTTTCACAAGCCCAGCCAGCCGGCCAGCCAACCACTCTCCCGGTCCCACCGTAATGTACTCTAGCAGTAGAACCGAGCAAAAAAATGAAGCCACTCAAGAAAACCCAAAAATTTAGTTCCTATGGGGATCGAACCCATGACCTTCTCCGCGCCAACGATCTCGGTATCGTCAAACTAGAGAGACGACACGACGAGATGCCTGTAAAGGAGATGTGATAAACCACTACACCTGGTAGGAGGGTTAGTAAGATATGTAGGAATAATGGCAGTGGGTGGGCTCACTAAGGAACTATTTTATCTGTGTGACAAATCAGATCACTTTTTTGGTGTATGTTGTATATATTCCTTGAATATTTGTGAACGGAGACCCGCTCGCCCACTAAGCCTCTAATCTTCCCCGCATTCGTATCGGGTCTTTCTCCTCCTCCTCTTCGTCAATTCTCCAATTCAACCGTCTCATCCACACAGGCACCCTCCACACCACACCACACACTCCACCATGTGTGTACCCGTTCAAGCCCATTGCAGATTCTTACTTCGGCATGAGCCTCGGAGAGGAAAGACACACAAAAGGCCTGGCCTGGTGGCCTGGGTGATCGAACAGCCGCGGGACAAGTAATCCCTTGTCTCGAAAAGCTAGCCCCTCGGTGGTACTTTGCGGAGTTTTTTTTTGAAATCTCTCAAAGTCCGTGGAGGTCCTGTCCCCAAGTCACTGCATCAAGCGTTTTCTCGGTAAGAGGGAGTTTGTCGGATAATACTTCATATATCGTTTGTGGATAAAAGAGGCAAGATAAAGCAAAAACGTCTGAATACTCGGTGCCAGAGTTCTGGACTTTTGAGATACCGAGAAATTTCTTTGGATAGACTCAAAAAGAAAAAAAGGTAGGGGACCACGAAGGAGAGCCCTGGGGAAAAGAATAGGTTGCAGGAAAGATGGAATACGATACGTCTACCCTCAACGGCGCACCCATCACGGGTAACGTCAAGCATGAAAAGAACACCACCAGTCCGAATCGAGGGCGCATAAGGATTCAATGCGACCCGACAGATGTCTCCATCCTCAACCAGCCCGTCACTTTCGCCTTCTCCGGTCGAACTGCGAAGAACAGATTCCTCAAGGCACCCATGACCGAGAGACTGTGCCATTGGAACAAAGAAGGCGAGGATATCGTATGTCACCCTTCCTTTCGGGTTACGTCTATTGACCCCTAACACAGTCCGCTCGAGGCGTGCCCAGTCCCGAGTATCTCAACCTGTACCGACGATGGGGTGAGGCCGAGATCGGCATCATTGTCAGTGGGAACATCATGGTCCGCTACGACGCGGTCGAAGCATACGGCAACCCCATCCTCGTCGACGACCACGATGGCCGCCTCGCAAAGTTCAAGGAAGTCGCCGACGCCGCAAAGGCTCACGGCTCGCTCTTTATTGCCCAACTCTCCCACCCGGGCAGGCAAGGCGGCAAGTACCTGAACCCAAACCCCGTCAGCGCGAGCGATATCCAGCTGAGCATCAAATGGGCGGGGAACGAGTTCAACAAGCCGCGACCCTTGACCATCCCGGAGATCAAAGAAATGGTGAAAAGCTGGGGCGAGACCGCGTATCTCTGCTGGAAAGCCGGGTTTGATGGCGTCCAAGGTAGGCACTTTGGAAAGACTGAGATCATACAAAAGCTGAGACTCCTCCCCTCGTTGAACAGTGCACTGCGCCCACGGCTACCTGCTAGCCCAGTTCCTGAGTCCCACCACGAACCGCCGCACCGACGAATATGGCGGCGACCTGAACAACCGGTCTCGCATCGTCTTCGAGATCATCGAGGAGATCCAACGCCGCGTGCCGGACCCGTCGTTCATCATCTGCGTGAAGCTCAACTCGGTCGAGTTCCAGGACAAAGGCACCACGCCCGAGAACGCGCGGGACCTGTGCCTGAAGCTCGAAAAGGCGCGTGTGGACTTTGTCGACTTGAGCGGCGGCACGTTTGAGAGTCGAGCCTTTGAGCACAAGAAGGAGAGCACCAAGGCGCGCGAGGCCTACTTTATCGAGTTCGCCGAGATGATCCGCCCGCTCCTCAAGGAGACCAAGGTGTACATCACGGGCGGCCTGAGGACCGCGGCGGGCATGGTCAGGGCCGTCGAGTGCGGCGCCTGCGACGGGGTCGGTCTCGGCCGACCGTTCGCCCAAGAACCCTACCTTGCCAGAGAGCTCCTGAGCGGGAAGATCACGGGCGCCATTGAGAACTTCGCGCCCTTGCCCCTAAACACCCAGTCTACGGGCACGCAACTACATCAGATCGGCAAGGGGGACGAGCTGATCAGCGACTGGAGCGACGAAAGCGAGGTCAAGCGGTGGATCGAGGCAGACACCAAGGAGACGGCCAGGAAGATCAGCATCCTGCCCGTGGTGGACAGTTCGGGCTATCCGCCGCTCAAGGCCGAGGTTGGCTTCGCCTATCTCGAGACTTGAGAGAGACAAAAACATGGGCTGGGGGGACCTCGAAGGCGGAGTTCATCACAGACAAAACGCCAAAGAGAGTTTTGGATATAGAAACCCGTTAGAACGTCCGTAGACATGACCAATACACAATCAGGTATGCGATTTGAGGATTTTTTGGTTAGACGTTGTTCATTGAATTTTCGAAGACCGGCGCTTTTCATGCCTGGCCCCGCGCCAGCAACAGACCATTTGACTCTGATCTGATCTGATCTGATCTGTGCTTCCAGACGCCGAAAATGACCTCGTGCCACAATCTTCATCCACAGGCCTTGTCGTACCCCATGTGTCCTTGCTCGATTGTGCGGAAAAAGCACGCCCTCACATTCGGACTCACTCTCCTTTGGGGGATTGACTTTGCACCACCACCCACTACCACAACCGCAGCCGTCCTTGTACTCCTGCTTAGAATTTCTGGAACGCCTTGACCGCCTTTCCTGTTCGGGGCAACACGCGGAGAACGTTGAATCGGACCTGGAGATATTCCCGTACAGTTAGTCTGGTGCTCATGTTCGCTTCAAAGAGTCTCTGAAAGAAATTCGGGGCTTTCCGAGAACAGCAAAAGGCGGGTTCTTACAGTCTTGCTCAAAGGTCTGCACTGGCCCACGGTGACCTGGTCACCTTCTTCGACACGGAAAGCCGGGGAAACGTGTGCGGCCAAGTTCTTGTGCCTCTTCTCATATCGGGCGTATTTGGGGACAAAGTGAAGGTATTCTCGGCGGAGGATCAAGGTTCGGTGCATCTTGGTGGAAACGACGGTGCCGGTGAGGATACGGCCTCGAATCGAGACCATGCCGGTGAAGGGGCATTTCTTGTCTGTTTTTGCCAGAGATTGTCAGAATGATGAAATTTACCCAACAAGTAGTTTTTCCCGTTTGACGCTGTAACTTGGGGGAAAGATCCCTTCAAAATCTCCCCAGTGGAAGAAGAACAACTGAGCACCGGAAACCACTGACCAATGTACGATCCCTCAATCGCAGTCTTTGGCGTCCTGAAGCCCAACCCGACGTCCTTGTACCATCTTCGCCCGCCCTTGCCGACTCTCCTGCTCTTCGCCGCCTTGGATTTGTGGTTGAGGAAGATGTGAGGCTGCTTCTGGTAGGCGCGCTCGGCCTGGACTGTCAACTCGGTCGCCATGGTTGCGGATGTTGTTGACAGGAAGGAAGTTGAAGTGGGCGCAAGTGGTTGGAATTTTACAATCGGGGCACAACGCTAGCAACCTTTTGCCTGTGGACAATTGATGGTGCGCATTCAAAATTCTGCCAAGACATCAGAAGAGGCTAGTCCTCAATCGGTGAACTCCAAATCACGTGCTTTCGCCACCCACTCGTGTTTACATAAACCCTTGGTTGGGTTTAGCTCGTCACGGTGAGGCTGTTGGTGGGGACGCGGATTGGGCCTCGACTTTTGGTACCAAACATCCATTGCGGGCAATGCAAAGAGTATCCTTAGAACAACCCTACAGATTGAATGCCTCGGTGAGGCGATAAGGCGCTGCCAGATGGCCGATTCTACTACAGATCAGAGGTCTAGCAGGCCCAAAGCACGACAATCAATTGCGCACGTACCGTCTGCGAAGACGCACTCGTCGAGGGACAATGCGACAACGGATATTGCTGCCCTTCAAGCTCGACACACAGAGGCTAGGGCGGCAAAAAAGAAGTCGCGTGGCAAGAGTCTTGGTCCAGGCGGACTTGAAGCCTTGAAGGAGTCGACGGGAAACGCAACAAAGGTAACAACGAAACTACAGTGTGGTGATACAGCGCACTTGTTGACTTTCTGGCAGCCTACGACGCCGTTTCAAATTAAATCCATACTCAAACCTTCCATACCTCTGACGCCTCCTAAAGCTATACCGTCGTTTGACGAACTGCGCAAGCGGAGTACGGGAAAAGACAAGGCACAGACGAAGAACAACGCCGAAGAGCTGCTCATCGACTTCTCCACTCCAGGTCCGAGTGGGCAGAATGCAGGCGCGGTCGCAATGTCAGGCGCTGAGAATGTGGCTGACCCCTTTAGTCCTATGGCGCGACGATCTCCCAGGAAAGCCGAGGGAGCGGGTGGAAGTGCAGAAGCTCGAGAGCGCGAGCAGGAAGAGGAGCGGAAGCGCAAGGCAGAGAAGGAGGCCATATTGGAACGCAGAGCGGCGAGGAGGAAATCGCTGGCAAATCGTCGAGTGTCGTTCGCGCCCGAGGCTACCTTGCATACGTGGAGCGTCATGGAACTTGCTGAGGACTCAACCACGAGTTCCGCCTCCAACTCCACAAGACGCCAATCCTCGATGACTGCACAATCACCTGTCAAATCGATACCATCGCCTGAACCAGCAGATGCGCCTTCGACTCCTGCCGGGCAGACTGAAGAGCTACTTGTCAAGGAGTCCCCTGCGAAGCAGAGGGGCGGCCGCCAGAGTAAACGCAGTCGCAGAAGCTCAGGTCTCGCAGAACCCACGCTCGATGCCGAAGAGCTGACGTATTCTTCAAGTCCCTCGGGAGATGTCACCACTAATAGCAGTCCTGTCAACTACGAGGAAGGTATCGAGTCTTCAGATGACTCAGACACCGATGGCGATACAGCGATGAGTCTGGAAGACGCTACTTCACATACGGTAGCTTCTGAGGATTCTGGATCAAGCACCCCTTCCAGTCTGGAAGAACGCCTGCGGCAAGCTGCCGAACAGGCTGGAACCCGCGGTATAGAGTATGACGAGCATGGCGAGGACTCTCTCATGGAGATCGTGACGGGTACTGTAACAAACGCCTTTCAGAATTGGGCACAAGGTCGGGCTCGTGGAATCCAAAGCAACGAGATGGACGAGCAGGAAAACCAGATCACATACATTCATCCGCCACCAATAACTCACGACAACGACGCTGAGATGGATGATGAAAGTGGGGATCAAAGTGGCGAGATGAGTATGGACGTCACAAGAGCTGTTGGTGGTATAGTGACGAGTCGGTCTCCGAGCAAGAAAGGCTCAAAATCACCTCTCTCACGCCGCAGAAGCAGCATGCGCCATCGTCGCTCATCTGGGAACGAATCCGTCTTTGATGAGACCATGGACTTTACAGCTATCCAAGGAGGGATCATCTCTGCTGGGATTGAAGAGACGGTGAACAGCCGTGTGTCCGATGAAGATATCAGCATGGAATTCACACAGGTGGCTGGAGGTGTCCTGAGTGGAGCAGCTAGTCGATACTCGATCGGCTCGACTCAGTCGGATGAAAATGAGACCATGGACATGACCACTGCCGCCGGGGGAATCCTGCCCCCTATTGAGGAGCAGACCGAGCCCCAGACGGATGTGGAAGAGCAGACCGTGGCCATGGACATGACCAGAGCGGTAGGTGGCATCCTTGTCAAACACGGCAATCAGACGACAAGACAGTCTCCTGAAGACACCGTGATTTCTTCACCACAACACGTACCACTTGACCAAACCACACCGAAGTCTCCACCAAAGTCGCACCAACATCGAACCTCTATAGCCTCAGAGACTGGCAGTCCGAGCATTGCTTTGAAGCCACGACTGTCAGGCCGGCCCCAGCGAAGCGCCACGAAAACTGCTGCTACTCCACAAACTACACAGCATAATAGCACACCGGTCAAGTCACAGACTAGGAAACAGCAGGGCACTCCATCAAAGCAGATCACTCCACTCCCCACGCGAGCTGAGTCTCCAAACAAAACTCCATTGTCTGCAAATGTCTCGCACCGAAGTGCTTCGCCAAAGAAGCTGTTCAAAGCCGAAATCAAAGCCAGGGCATCCCCGGCCTCTGCAAAGCGAAACGCGCTTTTTTCTCCCGGCAATCAGACTCCCAGTGTCGTCCTGAAAGCACCCAAATCTCACCTAGGGCGTCGACGATCAAGTGGGATTGGTATTGACAAAGATGGAATCGGCTCTCCGCGAGTGACCGAACTACTGGACCGTCGATCCTCAATTGGAGACGCAGCGCCTCAGTTCAAGCTTGCTAGCATTGAGCCTACAACGTTGCGCTGTGAAGACCCACAAGAAGTTGCGCGAGAGGTAGAGGCCGAAAGAGCAGAAGAGCAGCGTCGAGAGAGCGGCAGATTTGTCATGGAACAAGAAGCCGACGAGCCTCAGGATGAGAATGTCACTTTACAGCTGAAAGACATGATTGAGTCGATGACGCCGCAGAAACCAAAATCTGGCAAACTCAAAGGCAGAAAGAGCCTTGCAGTTGGAGGTGCCAAAGGTCTTCTAGGAAAGCGGCCTGCAGAACTCGATATGGACGATGACGATGGCGATTCAACTCCGAAGCGTTTGAGAGCGGTTTCTAGAGAAGGGAGCCCAGTGAAAAAGGTTCATTTACCGAAGCCACCTACCAAGGACGAAACAACTGGCAGATTTAGCACGAGACTTCAGAAATCTCTCCAGGAGATGGCTGACAGTGCTAATGCAACTCCAAGTCTCGGACCAGCGTCGCCTACTAAACACACGATAGCACCGAGCCCAGGCACTACTCGACGCTTCAAAGATGTCAAGGTCAACGATGAAGCAAGACCAGAATCGTTCGAGGACAAACTTGATAACGTGGTTGGAGCCATTGACATTTCCACCGTTCAGATGGAAGAAGGATCAGCTCGGAGTGAAGAGGACAAGATCTCTCTCCAGCAGTTCTTGAACATGACCAATATTCATTTCATCGAACTGTCAACCACGAAGCGGAGACACACAATGGCACAGTCAATGCCGGCCTCTGGGTCCCAGGCAGATGTGGACGCCAGCAACACAGCGGATAACTTCGTTGCGGCTGCCACCACATTGCCACTCCTTGAACTGTATCAGCATGCCACGCGAGAGCTCAAGTCGTATATATCGGCTGGTCGCAAGATAATCCGCTCTATCGAAGCAGAAACTCTGGCCGACCAGCCACCACTTTTCCGGGAATACGTCGATGCTCGCCCTGACGTGAAGGTGGTGATGGACAACCAATTTCGCAACGGCAAGGCCAACGCTCGTCTGCAAAGCAAGGAGGGCTGGTATCAGTGGAGAGCACAGCTGGTAGAAGGCCTCAAGAATGGGCTAGAGGGTATCGACCATGGGATACAAGCTGACCTTCAACTATTACAACAACAGCAACAGATACTAGACTCAGTGCTTCCTCGGCTTAATCAAGAACGAACTGATCTCGAGAACCGAAAGGCATCGCTACAGCAGAGTCTGGAAGAACTGGACAGTATCCATCATGAGTCATTAACCAATTGCCGGCGTGAATTGCAGAATGCCGACGAATACTATCTTCAAAGATCTGCTTTGCTCGACTCCTTGCACGAACAGATGCGAGAGAAAGAAGAGGCGCTCCTAGCTGCCGCCGAACTCAAGACCGAGATGAATGATCAGATTGCAGAGGCAGACCGAGTCAGGGAGGAAAGCAAGGGTTGGCCTGTCGCCGATGTCCTGGACCTAAGGTCGAGGGTAAATGCCATCGAGAAACAAACCGGCTGGCGATTGATCGCTGTGGAAGAAGAGATGGATGAACCAACCGACTTTGGGCCTGCCCTCACCATGATGTACAAGGATAATCTACGACTCTTCTTCTACCCTCAAGCTTTCCAATCCAAGGCTTCAGATGCACCGCGGCGCAGATCAGGGAGGAAGTCGGCATCAACTAGCGGTCCAACGGCGCCTCTTAGCTTGACTTACGCTCCCACAGACGAAGAAGACTCTGATGTCAAACCGTCCGAGCCACCAACCGAGAAACGCTTCTTCTTGCAGTTGGTCAGAAGCCAATTGCACGCCTTTGCAATGATGCCCAAACGGTCCGTATCGTCCAGAACAATGCTGTCAACTGTTTCTCAGGGCTGGGATCTTGCATGCAAAATTTCCGAAGAACTCCGACTTCTGAACCTCGTGGGCATCACGACAGCCTCCATCCTAAGTGACGAGAAACTCGGGGTCAAGGTCGCTCTGATCACGCCGAAGCAAGGGCGGGTTGATATTGAATTCGCGGTAACAGTCGCGATTCTGAACGACGGTGACATTGTTGCATCGACCAGCGTAACTGCAAATGCAATCTATGGCAGCTCGGTGGAACTGTTGAGTGGTGGAAAGGGTAGGAAAGTGCAACATGCACTGGGAAAGGAGGCTGAGAGTAGAAGCCTGGGCGAAGGAGCTTTTATCAGTGCCATCCATGGCTTTGAAGAGTGGCTGCGTGTACAGGACAAGGCGAGATCAGGGACGAAGGTGGCTGTCACGAATGCTTCTGCACCTGAGCCTGAGCCTCAGTCTGTTGCATCGACTGTCGCCTCCAAACCGACAACAGTCCCTTCGACCTCAACCTCGACCCTGACCTCGGCTACCACTCCAGTGGCGCCCAAGCGCTCTCCTCTGGCTCCTAAACGAACCAACCCACTACAAAAGAAAGCTCTTCCAGTTCCGAAGCAGCGCCTCGAGAAATTTCAGCCTCAGGCTCTGACCCAACATCAACTTGCGCACACAGCCGCCGAGAAAGAGAACTTCAACCCATCTCTATCGGTCTCTGGCAAGATGACTCCTCAGAAGCAGCAGCAGCAACGACAGCAAGCACCGCTGGAAGATAAACGCGGCATCGACTCGGCCGAGTGGGAGGACGTGATCCCCAGGGCGGCCATTCCGCCCGAGATGCAGGAAGCCATGATGCACACACCCATCAAGCGCGTGGGTGCTTTGAGGAGGAGTCCGATCTGATCTGATCTGATCTGATACTGTAGGCTTTTGGTTCTTTGACCCGGGTCAACCGACGCCTGCCTGATGTTGTATATATTTGGTGTTGATGCGATGACGACTTTGTTATAAGGAGGAGGGGGGTTTTTTTTTATTACTTTGGCTTCAAGCAGGGAGTTTGTTGGATATCGAACTTGCATTTTCGGGGCTTTGGACTTTTGGACTTTTGACTACCGACCAGCATCCAAGCATGTGATGGATGCATGGAGTTGTCATGTACATACATGCATACATGGAAAGAAACTCCCTCGTGGTGGACTGACTGACTGTTCCAGACGGCTAAATCCTTTCCATCTCAACTATCTTTCTCTTGTCTCTTTTCATGTCATGTCATATCTCTGCCTTTCCTTCCTTGGTAGTTTCAGTTTGATGACCTCGTCTATGTAAGTAAGTAAGCAAGTAAGCAAGTAGGTAGGTAGGTAGGTAAGTAGGTATAGATGTAGGTGGGACAAGGCTCTGAATTTCAGGGGGGGGGCAACCCAGGTGGGTTCTTCATATTGTAAAGCTCGCAGGACTTGCGTTCCGCTGTCCCGTCCCGGCCTGTCTACTAGATAATCATAGCATTTTAATCATTGTCACTCACTCCTCCGATTTTACCCACCATCTCATCTCGCCAGCCCGTAAGCGCTGTGGGTAAGCAAGTAATGTTGGTAAGGTTCGCACTGGGGGAGGTCTCAAGAGAGAAGGTCTCTAGGGAGGTCTCCAAGAGTGAATGAATCAATGATACACGATCAATCAATCATAGTGTCTTGATCAGTATCAACTACTCCTACTACCACCCACCACCGCCGCCGCCGCCACCACCACCCTTCCCTCCAAAGCCACCGCTCTCATCACTCGCCCCTTTGCCGCCCTTCATCTTATCGCCGCCCGCCAGCCCGGCGCCTCTCTTCTGCTGTGCCGCTTCGTGCTTCCTCAGCTCCTCCGGCACCCTGCTGATCGAGCTCTTCATCAACATCTGCTTTAGATCGTACAACACGTCGTTGTCTTCGTTACCCAGGAACGTGATGGCCACGCCCGACTTGCCAGCTCGGCCCGTACGCCCGATACGGTGGGTGTACGATTCGATGTTGGTCGCCATGTTGAAGTTGACCACCAAGCTCACGTCGGGGACGTCGATACCACGACCGGCCAAGTCGGTCGCGACCAGGACATCGGTCTTGCCGTCCCGCACTGATTGCAGAGCCGCCTCGCGCTGTTCCTGCGTCTTGGACCCGTGCAGTGTGACGCTGCTGAATCCCATCGACTTGATGTCCCGGGCAACGGCATCACAATTCCTCTTGATGTTGACAAAGACGATGATCGGTGGACGGAACTCTCCACTAGAGAGGATCTCGTTCAGTCGCTTCTTGCGCTTGTCTTCGCCAGCCACGAACTCTACCCGCTGTTCAACAGTGTCGACAGCCTCGCCCACGTTGCCGATCGTCACGATCGCCGGTCTTCTCAGATATTTTCGTGCGATTCGCTCGACTGCGGCAGGCATGGTGGCCGTGTACATCATGGTCTGGCGATACCGGTCTTTTCCACCCAGATGGCGGGACATGGCTTTTCCATCTTCTGCGTCTTCAGTGTCAGGTTTCTCATTAGTCACAGGTAAAGCATCGAGGATCTTGTTCACAGGCTCTTCGAATCCCAGGTCGATCATGCGGTCTGCTTCGTCCATGATCACGTAGCAGCATTGCTCCAGCACGATGATGCGGCGATCTATACAATCTACCAGACGACCCGGTGTCGCGATGATGATTTCGGCGCCGTTGCGTAGATTGTAAGCTTGTTCCTCGATACTGTGACCTCCAACTATTGACACGACCGTGAATCCCAGCGGCGTCGCAAACTTTTTGGCTTCAATCTCGATCTGCTGTGCCAGTTCACGGGTGGGAGCAAGGATGATGGCGTAGGGTCCGTTGTTGCGGCGCATGTCGTCTTCGTCTAGCCGCGGAAGCTCGGCGATGTACACGAGCAAAGGAAGGAGGAAGGCTGCAGTTTTTCCGGAACCTGTGACTGCCACGCCGATGAGGTCGCGATTTTGAAGTGCGATAGGAATGGCGGCCCGTTGGATAGGTGAGGGATCAACGTATCCCACTTGGTCGATGATTTCCAACAGCTTTCTTGGAAGTCCAGATTCTTTCCAACTACGCATAGGGTTAGGGATGCCGCCACCTTTTGTGCTGATGTTGAAATCCTCCTTGAAAATACGCCAGTCGCGTTCGCGCATATGCTCCAGTTTCTTCTCACTCCAGTGTTTGTCAATGGCCATCCGGCCGGACTCTTCCTTCCTCTTGCGCTCCATCTCGAGAATCTCCTGGGCGCGGGCAGCTCCGGCGACCGTGTCTCTCGACTGCAACGCCTCTGCATACTTTCGTGCCGCTGCATCGGCCGCCTGTTCATCAAATCCACCCAGGCGACCTCTCCCAAAGAAGGTGACGTCGGCGCGATTGTTGTAGATGGGATTGTAATCCGGTGTGGTGTCCTCTTCGGCGTTCCATTCAAAATTGAATTTCTTTTCCGTCGTCCGCCGTCGCTTTTTCAAGGCAGAGAAGGTCGACACATTCATGTCGGCACCCATGTACCTCTGTCGGATAATCTCTGTTTCGGGCTTCTCAGTCCGGTCGTCCTCGGCGCCTCGCTTTTGTGCCCGCGATTCACCACCAAACGCAATCGCTTTGGGTGCCGGAGGTGGCGCAAAGTCGACGCCCCTGTTGGGTTCTCGTGACCGCATGGCAGCAGGGCCTGTGGGGACATCTCCTCCATTGCGTAGAGCCTTCGGCCCCGTGGGCGCTGGACCGGGCTTGGGCGGTTCCAACGGCGCAGAGGAACCGTTCCGTACAAGACCGTTTGGCTGTTTCTGAGCGGAAGCGGCCTCAACCTCCTTCTGTCGCTTCTCCAAAGCAATTCTTTCACGCTCCGCCCGGGAGAGGAATTTGGGCTTACTGGCCGCGAGGTCGGCTTCCCTCTTCTTCTTGAGGAGTTCCTCCACGCTCAACGGCGTTGCCTTTGGCGCCTTTGTCGCGCCCCATCCTTTCTTCTTCGGAGGCTGTGGCCGGACAACCGCTGTTGTAGAGTCTGGGTCGTCGCTAGGAGGAGGTGGCACCGGCTCTGGCGGAGGGGGGGGCACACTTGAGTCTATAGGCGGAGGAGGCGGCGCAAACCTCGCCTCTAGCGGAGGAGGAGGAGGTTCAGTCTCAGCGGACGGGGGAGGCGGAGGTGTCTGTGGTCTTGAAATAGGGTCAACAGGAGGTGCTGGCATTTCAACTTCGCGGTGGCCGTTCACCATTGTTTCCGCCATGTTGGCGTCTGTTGCACCAGCTTTGGACTTTTTGTAGTCCTTGTCTGGGTGGAAGGGTTGGTATTATGGCAAAGTCGTTTAGGCTGCGTGAGATCGAGACTCTCGACCTAAGATAAAGTGCCTCTTGAGGAGAAAATGAAGGGAACGGCAGCAGAAGTTTATGGTAGGTATCAAGTCCAGAAGTTGGAAAGACAAGACAAGAGGCGCCATCAATTAAGCCTTGGGGAGGCAAAGATCTCGTTCACTCGGTGAATCAATTTTCCGACGAGGCTGGTATTAGTCAGAAGATGTGCGGGGGACTGCCAGCCTTGTAGAAATCGCCAGCCATCTCCGAGCTCGACACAAGTTCAGCCTTTAGCAGCACCACAGTGAAAAAAACCCCGGTTGTTTCTTGCCATATGATATCGTACAAGAAAGAATTAAGGCTAAAACATATCAACAAGCCGTGTCATATCCATTACTGTATTTTTCGTCGGAAGGTAAAAAGGAAAAGATTTTTCGGGCCCTCAACCTGGATCCATGCCATACTCGACAAGGCAGAAAATTCTGTCCAAACACACACAACTGCTGCTCGCTCAAAGTATGTGGTCGAAAGAGAAGTTGACAACCCCCGTCAAAAACGCATGTTCATAACTTATTCTTCGGTTACCCCATTTTTGACCCATCGAGGACAGAAGGGGAGGTGGATTTTGACGGGTCCGTTCGCGCCGCAGCATCATGTATAAATTTCAGCGCCTGACTTTCGTCTGTCGTTGTCGCCATACTCATCTGCGCCTGCGCCGTCTGGAACGGCATCATTCCAAATCGTTATGCTGTCAAGTCTTTCGCCCTTGTTCAGATGCACCGCGTGGAACGCGTCGACTTCTTCGACATCCTCGTCGTCTTCCCCAATGACGGCTTGCTCATCTTCTTCCTCTTCTTCGATGATTTGATTCTTCCTCTTGGAACTGCTGTTTCTTCGACCACCCCCGGCCACAAAATCTTTGAGGCCCAAGTTGAGCTTCCCATCTGATCCTTCACGGTGTCTTCCAGCACCAGCGATAGCAGGGCTACCGAACGCAACGGGGAGGCTTGACGCGGAGAAGAAAGCAGAGTTGAGCATGGGGCCTTTGAATGGTGATTTTTTCCGCCGAGCGAACATGACGTTCGATCCGAATGTGTGGGCATGTGGAGTACCTGGTGGATGATTGAACATCTCGGTGCCCACTCCAGAGAGCGGACGAGGCTGAAGGCCGACTTCGGAGCCTCTCGGCGTCCGGACTATTCGAACATTTGAAGGGAAGGCGTTCGCGGTCGGTGTCACAGGGAGGACTTTGATCGAGGGGTGAGGGGACCGGCCGTTGAGACTGACCGTGCGGCTCGTAGGACTCTGAACCGTGTCGAGGCTGTTAGAACTTTGCGAGGACGCTTTGCTGTGAGAGGTGTGTCGTGGCATGCTTCGGATTGATGACACGGAGGAGGATGTTGATTTTCGGCTCCGTAGACCCGTGGAACTGCGTCGGTAGGAAGAGCGGGGCGTCACAGGCGAGGGCGAGAGAGAGTTGCGATGAGGTCTGCCACGGGCCGTATCGATCCTAGGCGCAGGAGTTTTGACAGAGGGAAGAGGCTTGGAGTTTGCAATGATAGGAACGAGTGCAGACCCGTTCGAGGATCTATCTGGATTTGCGGCGCCTGCAAT